CACTAGAAGAGAAGTAGAGGCCAAGTAAGCCAGGAAAAAAAGAATAGTGACTTACTAATTGTGCACAAGACTGTTGATCCTTTTTGGGCCTTATTATTACATAAATAGTTCTTACATGGTTTTGGTCACTATATGTTCCTTGGGGGATTTTTTTGTTTGTTTTTTTTGTTTGTGAGACAGTCTCACCCTGTTACCCTGGATAGAGTACCTTGGCATCCATCATAGCTCACAATAACCTCTCTTGAGCCTGGGTTCAAGAGATCCTCCTTCTTTAACCTCCCAATTGGCTGAGTCTGCCACAATGCTCAGCTAACTTTAGTAGAGATCAAGTCTCAGTGTTGGTCGGGCTAGTCTTGAACTCCTGAGTTCAAGGGATCTTCCCACCTTGGCTTCCCACAGTGCTAGGATTATAGGCGTGAGCTGCTGTACCCAGCCCCTGATTTGTTTTCTTTATTTTTTATTTTCTTTTTATTTTTTAAAATTTTTCCTTAATTTTAACTTTTTTTTTTTTTTTGACTGAGTCTCAGACTTTCACCCTTGTAGAGTGATGTGGCATCAAAGCTCACTGCACTGGCCTGTGTTCTTTATTTTTTGTTTGGGCTTTTTCATATAGACCTTCCTATGTATCTTCCTAGTTCATGTACTTATTCTTTTATGACAATATATTTCATCATACCATTTAATCATTTTCCAACAATTAGATTTTTCTAGCATAATAGAAAAGCTCTAACCATTTTGGCAGAAAAGTTTTTATTTTCTTAGGATGGCATTGCCAAAATGATATTATCATGGTCAAAATATTTAATTTCAAGGGACCAGGTGCTGTGGCTCATGCTTGTAATCCTAACACTCTGAGACACTGAAGTGAGTGGATTGCTTGAGCTCACGAGTTCAAGACCAGCCTGAGCAAAAATCAAGACCCCATCTCTACTAAAAATAGAAAAACTGAGACAAGAGGATCATTTGAACCCAAGAGTTGGAGGTTGCTTTGAGCTATGATGCTATTGCACTTGACAGCTTGAGACTCTGTCTCCAAAAAAAAAAAAAAAAGATCTAATTTGAGTGTGGAAGTATGGGGAAAAAAGATTAATTCATTAAATGTTCTTCTTACATCAAAATCTATAATTTAG